TATTCATTACTGCGGTGAAGCACACTGCATATCTCCTCTGGAGCGGTATTAATTACTAATGTTAAGCACACTGCATGTCTCCTCTGGAGCGATATTAAGTACTACGGTGAAGCACACTGCATGTCTCCTCTGGAGCCGTATTAATTACTACGGTAAAGCACACTGCATGTCTCCTCTGAAGCGGTATTCATTACTACGGCGAAGCACACTGCATGTCTCCTCTGGAGCCGTATTAATTACTACGGTGAAGCACACTGCACGTCTCCTCTGAAGCGGTATTAATTACTACGGTGAAGCACATTGCATGTCTCCTCTAGAGCCGTATTAATTACTACGGTGAAGCACACTGCATGTCTCCTCTGGATCGATATTAATTACTACGGTGAAGCACATTGCATGTCTCCTCTGAAGCAGTATTAATTACTAATGTTAAGTACACTGCATGTCTCCTCTGAAGCGGTATTCATTACTGCGGTGAAGCACACTGCATATCTCCTCTGGAGCGGTATTAATTACTAATGTTAAGCACACTGCATGTCTCCTCTGAAGCGGTATTAATTACTACGGCGAAGCACACTGCATGTCTCCTCTGGAGCCGTATTAATTACTACGGTGAAGCACACTGCATGTCTCCTCTGGATCGATATTAATTACTACGGTGAAGCACATTGCATGTCTCCTCTGAAGCAGTATTAATTATTACGGTGAAGCACACTGCATGTCTCCTCTGGATCGATATTAATTACTACTGTGAAGCACACTACATGTCTCCTCTGGAGCGGTATTAATTACTATGGTGAAGCACATTGCATGTTTCCTTTGAAGTGGTATTAATTATTACAGTGAAGCACACTGCATTTTTTATCACCAGCGGTGTAGAATTACTTGCGTGTTGTAGAATCCACGTTTCTCTCCGGAACGTAACAATGAAGTACAATTACTGTATTTAATGTAACATTCAAGTTTAGAGTTTTCAATAAAATGGACACTTTCAACTTTGAAGTTATAAACTCTTCAATTTCCGAATATAATACTTGAAACAAGATATGTTACAATGTTTGCAACTCTCTATTTATTACACACAGTAGAATTTGTGTAAAACTGTAAGACTTCGTACATCACACCTCGAGCGTTACCCAACAGAAAGTTCGTTGCTATTAAAGACTTTCTATGATCACGTTAACTTTAATCATTTTTGGGAGGGTCCCTTATGTTTAAGTTACGGTAATCTAATCTATTTGACTAATAGCATACTAGAATAAGTATATACCTCTGGTATCATTACATCAATATTTTATAAACTAACATGATTTTTGTGAATAGTATATTAGAATATCTTGAAGATTTGTTAATAAGTTTTCAAGAAATATGACGCTTGACAAGTCTGTGATTTTACTTAATATAGCGTATTGGTCTGTGACGAAACATGAGTTTTATATGAGAAATATAAATAGAGACTTGTATTAATTGTTCAAACAATTTGTTAGAAATCGATATTCCTTAGTTTTAACATAGTGAATTATCAACGTAAGATGGATATAAGTTATATTTTCCAACAGACCCGTCTGAGCTTTTGACTGATCACTATATGTAGTAGTGAGAATAAAATGCTTTTCTTTTAAAGTATATTTGAAATACAAGAAATGCACATTAACTTTTTCGTTTATAAATTATATAAAATATTACATACTGAACTGAAATGATCATGTAGTAATATGGACATAATTTACAAACGTTGTATGAAAGCTAATCCAACATTTTATAAACTAAGACGTTTATTATATATATTAGTGTATCTTGAAGTTTTGTTAATAAATATTTTGATATGTTTATTAAGTCTAAGATTTTATTTAATTTTGTGAATGAATGTTTCAATATGTGTGACGAAAGTCTTATTTAGAGTTTTGTATTAGATAGTTAAACACATTTGTTAGAAACGTGAATAATCAGTTCATAGAGTCTAATTGAATAGAAAATCGACAAGAATTGTACATTAGCTTAATTTTATATGTCCCGTCAAATACTGAGATATAGAATAGCGTGAATATATAGTTAGTGTTTTGTATAAAGTGGAAGAATCAGTAAAGTAAATTCAGTATCATGCAAAAATGACCATCACTAGTAAAGTTAAAGTATGGTGAATATTAAATTTATAATCAACCGTTTTTGAGTGTATATAAAGAATATACGAATATGTAGTTTGAACATTTTAAGTATAATGTATTTATATATACGTGTTTATATCTTATGAAAGAATATATATCATAAACAGCGACATATACAATGTATTATAATTGACTTGTACGATTTTTGTTTTCGTAAAATATTTTCAGTCATATTGAATTTTATCAGCCTCTTCTCTTATCAAAAGGTCAACAGACTGTCAACTGTGAGTTAATAGGAGTGATGCATCCACACCATTTGGTGATTGTATGTGTTGAACTTTCTATCATTTGCATTCAATGTTAATGACCTCAGATAGAAGCGGAAAGAACACCTACATGTAGTAATTTTCTATAATATTAATGATTAAACATAGTTATTTACATGGATCCTTAAAACTTTAGT